AGGTCGAAGTTGAGTTGGTCGAAGGCGCGTACGAGGACCTCGAGCTGGATTACCCTGGAGGAGACGGTGAGACGCATCTACGAGACACAAGCCATGCCATTATTCTATGGCGCAGGCGGTACATCATCCTCCCTGGGCGACAAGCGGCGTCTCGTGCACCATCTCCTCCGGCTCCGCCATCTCCTCCTCAGGATCCTGCACCGTCTCCTCCTCATGCTCCGCCAGCACCGTCTCCACCTCAGGCTCCAGCATCGACTCCTCTTCAGGATCCTGCACCGACTCCTCCTCGTGCTCCTACACCTACTCCCCCGCAAGCTCCTCTTCCGGCACCTTCAAAGTCAAGGCCCAGCTCCACCGCCTGCCCACACAAGGGCAACGAAGAAGGCGAAAGTTGACGCCGCCAAGAACAAGGACCCGGGGTACAATTGCACGCAAGAGGAGCTGGACGCTTACGTTGCATCAGAAGTCAAGAGACAATTCAAGCCTCGAAGTCCAGAAAAGAAGATTCCTATAGACCCCAGTGTCAGGAACTTCTTCAGGGGTATGTCTGCATCTGTCAAGGAGGCCATCAAGCTATCGGACTATGAGCGAACGCTGAAGAAAGCATCTTCTGGAAAGTCCAAACCAGTCCCTCAGCTTGGAGAGCAACCAAACCAGGAGATCGAGCCGTTGGTGACCGGTAAAGAAATGACGATAGAACAATTTATTACTGACACCGGTCTAACTACGGATCAATTGCTAGGAGTCGCACCAATCGAAAAGGCGGAAGTGAAATACATGTACGAACTCGGTAAACCGCTTGTCAAGCCTGAGCTGCTGCAGTCCCTACCCACACAAATGTACAAGTTCCATCAGCTGTACATGGAGATGAGCGCCACCGGTAGAGAGATGATCGGAGCGAGGATCAGGGACACGGACTTCTTGCAAGGAGATGACATTCTCTGGATCAATTTCAGGGGAATCTACGAACTATACCAGCTGGACGCCCTCGACGTCTCTATTATGAGTTGCTGGATTTTGTAAGTATATCGTTCAGTTAGATTTCTTACTATACGTCTCCTTTAATTAATTAGGTCCTTGTATATAAGTAGACTATAGAAAATAATATACTCCCTTTTATCGTTGTAGAATGGAGATTCAAAGGGCCCGACGGCGGAGGGTTTTCGATACTGGATTCATCGACCCTCGGAAAGTAAACGTCGCAATGCTCGACCAATATCCACAAGAAACAGAGGACAATCTCGTCCATCTCCTGAAGGCGCAGCATTACAAGACGTTCATACTGTTGCCATACAACACAGAGTTATTTTAATTTTACTGTCTTCCTACATACCAAATTTCATTCCCGTACGAACTTGCTAAGTGTTTCATATGTAATGCATCCCACGCACATTGCAGATTCCACTGGGTGCTTTTACTCTTCGACCTGGAGGCCTGCACCGTCAACGTATATGACTCAATGGATAAAAAAGAGTCTACGTTTGACAAGGTTTTCGAACTTATAGACAGGTACCGTCATAAGTTCCTTTGTTAATTAAGAAAATCTTGTTATGTTAATTGCTACTACGAATCATAGCTTTAAACTCCATGTAGGGCTTGGTATCGGTTCCGTCATTTGGTCCGCGGCAAATGGAGAGAAAGACTTAGGCGGAAGTTCAAATTTCCTGTGAGTACACATGCTCTACATTTATATTTCTCCGATTCAAATACATACAAGTGTATATTAATTAGATCTCTCATTGTTTGTCATTTATTTGTAGTGCGCAAAGCAAAAGCAGGGAACTAACTTGTGCGGCTATTACGTGTGCGAGTATTGCCACTGCCTTGCAAACCAAATCATCACCACAAGAGAGCTCGATGTACGTACAAATAAATTCAAAATTTCATTACGTAGCGATTTCTTGTTTAATTACTAATCAATTTCATACATTCATATAGTTTATTCGCATGAGGGATAACCTGACCACACACAAGGAATTTATCACGGCGGTTCAAGAACAACTCATGGGATTCATCAACGAAGAAATCCTTGATCCCAAGGGTGAATTCTACTACGACGGAAACACAATTCACCGGTCCTTAGCTTCTGAGCTAGCAGCGAGTACTACTACGTCGAAATCGTAGCTAGCTAGGACATATAATGGATTGTAATTAATACATGACTACATATGTTTCTATATGCATGTGTACACATTTTCTATAATGTAAATATATTTTGGTCATATATATATCTATATACATATGCATTTGCATAACATATATATGTATAAATACATATATATTATGCATGTATATACATATAATATAATATAATATATATATATACATATATATATGTATGCATATATATGTATTGAAACATATATATGCATGGTTTATATATATATATATATATATATATATATATATATATAAACCATGCAGCAACAGGGCCATGCAAAAAAAAAAAAAGGTCAGCTCGATCTTTAGTCCCGGTTATTTCACCCGGGACTAAAGATAGCGATCTTTAGTCCCGGATTGGTACTCCCGGTTTGGAAACCGGGACTAAAGGGGGGTTACGAACCGGGACTACAAAGGGTTTCTCCACCAGTGGCAGCTGGCCACCCGGCTCCGGCAAGAAGAAGAGTGTAGAAAATACTTTTGGGAAGCGGACAAGGATTTTCTACACCTAAATGCTATGGCACCCATTATTTGCATGCAACTCAAATAGTTATAAAAAAGATTGAAAAAAAATTAGAAACATCGTTTGTGATTATACAAGTCTATACACAAACATGCAGGACTAAATTTGATCTACAACTAGAGAAACAAAAATAATAAAATCATACAGTGAATAGCACCCATTTAGTGCTGATAAAATTTGTTATTTCTATTTCTTCATATATCGATCGAATTTAGACTTGCATGTTTGTATAGTGTCTTATATTATCATGGTCTATCTTATCAAATTTAATAAAATTTTTATACAACTATTTAAATTACATGCATACACCTAGGTGCCATGATACCTAGGTGTAGAAAATACTTTCCGGAAGCAGTTCGAGCTGCAGCGGGTTCTCGCTCTCAGCGAGCAGCATGCGAGCCGGCCCTCCACCACCTCCGACGAGCGGCTCTCGAGGTGCTCAACCAGCCGCGACACGCACGTCGCTGTACGGGCTCTGATGCGGCGACGCTGGAAAGAGGAGATAGAGAGAAGAGAGATAGGAGAGCTGACATGTGGGCCCTGACATTTCATGCTATTTCTCTCTCCTCTCTAACCGGAAATTATTATTTTAATGAGTGCGGTGTGCACCAGCAAATATCCAACTTATTTTTGACATTTCACGCGATTTCTCTCTCCTCTCTAACCGGAAATTATTATTTTAATGAGTGCGGTGTGCACCAGCAAATATCCAGCTTTTGAGAGTGTCTCACCAAAAGACACTTCATGCGGTGTCCTACAGCTAAAACCACGAAGTCACGATGTGTGTAGCAAAATTTGCCTATAAACTACTACCTCCATCTCAAAATATAAGGAGTTATAAAGTTAAACACGGGTATTAAAAAAGTAGGTAGAATTAAATATGGGATGGTTGTGAGTTTAGAAGAGAAAGTAGGTAAGTAGGTAGAATTAAATAGGGGATGGTTGTTAGTTTAGAAGAGAAAGTAGGTGGGAAATTTGAATGGTTGAAGGGTTATATTTGGTTGAGAAGAGAATATAGATGAAGAAGTTATTATATTTTAGGACAAGTCTTAAATAATATAAATTGTTATATTTTAGAATTGAGGGAGTTTCTAGCAGGGGTGGATCTAACACTAGGCTACCCTGGGTGGTCACCCAGGTTTTATGCACAAATATGAAATATAATTTTAATGTCACATAAAGATTGATAACAATGTTTTCACAGTGAACACATAAATCGTACTTCACTTGTCTCAAAATATATGTATTTTAATTTAGTAAAAGATTACTACATTTTGTGATAGAGGTAGTAATTGATTTTTATAGGGCTCTAGAAAGTTTTTCCCTCACTAATCAATCGCCAGAGATCTCGAAGTTCTCAGTGCATTGTAATAATTAAACGGTATACATAGACTGCCAACACAAAAAGATAAATATAACGCTTCCAAGTATTTATTTTTTGATTGAAAAATGTTAATGATTGTACTCTTAAATAGTTGCAATTGCATGAATTGACCACTTATAGTCATTTGTCTATGATATGAGTACCAAGTTACCTAGGTACTTGAGCAAGTGTTATATACTCCGTATCTCTTATTTGGTTCTATAACCAAGATCATCTTTTTTTTTTCATAAGTAGTTTCACTTGAACCTACGGAGTAAGTGTAACGGAGTATCTATGTACTAGTCGATATATTTTTTCACTGAAATCACATATAAATGTATAATGTAACTAGCTTAATTCTTAGTACCTCACGTACGCCCGTAACTCAGTGAGAGGTGTTTGTGCGTGACTTGAGGATCCCCGGGCTACAACATGATTTTGTTTTCTCCGCTTAGCATGAATCTTGGCGTGACATGATTTTTTGTTTTTCCCACCTAGCACAAATCTGGGTACACCGGAAATGCTACTGAGCGAGGGATCGCCCTCGCTCGCCCATAGCGATCGGGTAGCCCGCCCCCCCCCCCATCCCTCCACCTGGTTTTCTTTTTTGGCACTGCATTACTTTCTTATTTTAGTAAATTTATGCATCTAAAGTTTATACACCTCAAGTTTACACATCTATGGTTTAGAGACCAAAGAGTACCCTACACATCGGTGAGTTTACACATCTATGGTTTAGAGACCAAAGAATACCCTACACATCAGTTGGGTAAAAAAAAGAGAGATAATTTTGGAGGTAAAAAATCACACGATAGATCTTTCGCAATATCGTAAATGCAATTTTCTAAGGTTTTCATCTCACAGGATAGGTTCAAACTCCGATAGTGTCTGGAATTTCAGACGAAATTTTCTTCGATCTTAGAGAAACATGGGAAACGATGAAAAGAACTCCGGTGAAGAAAAATCATCAGTTAAGACATTATTCCCTTCCATATTCTAGTTCAAGTGTTCAACAAAGGTAAAACCCCCAGATGCTAATTGAAAAACTAATTAATCAATCAAACAAACTCCAACTAGTCTCTGTGACACTCTAGTCTCCAAAATGTATTTTCCTCTCTTGGCATGTTCGCTAAGGACCTGTTCGGTTTGGAGAGAATTGACGGGAAATAATTCTACACTAAAATAGATGCAGAGCAAATCCCCTCCAATTTTTTTTCATGGGGTTAACAGAACATTGGCCCATGGAGAATCAGGAGAAATGGAAGATGAAGCAACATCAGATGAACATCAGATGCTGCTTCGTCTTCCTCATTTCTCAACGATCCTCGGAGCAGGAAGCCGTGAGCGGGAACAAATTCAGCAGCTTTGCCTCTCCTGTCCTCACCGGCGGCGGCTGGTGCATGTGATCAGGTTTCCCCTCCTCCGAGACCGTCTCGCCCACCACCACCTCCTCGGCCAGCGTTGACGACGCCGACGTCGGCGACGGCGGGAGCTCGTCCTGCATGTTCTGGACGCACTGGCCGGCGCCCGAGCACCATGGTGACAGCGACGGCGGCGATGGCGGCGAGGCGAAGCCGGCCAGCAGCCTAGGATGCTCAGGCCTGATGGTGGGCAGCTTCGGCCGGTGCGGCGTCGGCTTGAACGCCGGCGGATTGTGGACGCCGAGTCTGCCACGGCGAGGGGCGCCGGCGACCGGCGCTGGGGCCGGGGCGGCGACGGCAGCGGCCTCCGCCGGCGGCTGGCCGGTGAGACGCTGCACCAGCTCCTTGAACGTCGACTTGTCGGCAACATACATCTTGGTGGTGTCCATGGCAGCTTGATCCAAACTAGCTCGCTCGAACTGCTCAAGAATGGGGAAGAAGAAGAAGAAGAAGAAGCCATGGTTAGGGTTTAGTTAACTCAGAATGCATCATCATTGCAAGAGGGAGATAGATTTTCATCCTAGAGATATCTCCTTATTGTTTACATGTTATCTAAATAGAAATTCGGCAACATATATTAATATGAAATATATTGCTCTACAAATATGCAATGCTAAATTTGACTTTTACATACCACAACAAAATAATAAATTAAATTAACGTACATTCGCAATTATATTTGTTATTTTGCTATAACTGGGTTGAATCCAAATATCCAATTGATCAAATGATAACTACTTGAGAATTCCATGCAAATTGTACACGATTAGGTTGAATCGATTGCTTGAAAATTTTGGCTTGATAATGCACTACATGTGTTTGTTGACATGGGCAAGCAAGCGTGGGGGATTAATTTCAACGGATTAAAGCTCAAGGCGTGTTTATACCATGTGTGCTGGAGTGGACTACGCTATGTACATTGAAAGAAAGTATAATTTGTTCTGGACATAGTGTGATCTAGACAAGAAAAGAATTTGTTTCTTTCGCACTTCATTAATTCAGTCAACAATGAAGCTAGCTCAAAACTTGTATTGGTACATACATTCAAGTATAGGTTGTGCCTAACATAAATGTAGGTAATTAATATGAACTCGGAATTTTCTATCTTGACAAATATTTATTGGACCAAATGTCCTTCCTTTCCAAAAAAAAAACTGAGTAATACATGCATATGTGTGCATTTTATCATTTCATCTCTGGTTTTGTTTTCATGACAAACATCTATAATCTGATATATCCTAAGTGGGATAAAAAAACACCAAAGAAGTTTAATTAGGATATATCTTAGAAGCAACTTGCAGGCCATCAATTGTTTCATGGTAGCAAAGGTGTGTGCAGTGGAAAGTTGATAAATTATGGGTACGCATAAACAGATCAGGCATGCTGCAATGAAAAAACATCTAAGACCCAATTTCCATTTATCTATTTAAATAAGTGGGATTACATACAGATTAACAGTAGATTTTTCAGTGGTATACATATAAAATCACCTGGTTCAATATGTTGATCCTATCTCCAGGTGAAGCTGATTATCAACTCTGATCTTAATTTGCAACCGGGGCACAGAGCCTGCAGTCTGATTAATTATAAACAATCAAATCCAAAAATAGATGAGTAATATAGCATAGCATCTAGCATCAAGGCACCACTAGATATTGAAATACATCATAGATCTACCTTGCACTAATTTTTGAATCTAATTAAAAAAACGAGCTGAGATATATATATATATATATATATATATATATATATATATATATATATATATATATTTATTTATTTATTTATTTATTTATTTATTTATTTATATACAGCTACCATGCGTTCTATAATTCGATATATCTTTTCTTAGATAATGGAGCAATTATACAAATCTATACATGACTGTAGGTAATAAAATTGTTGAAGAAAATATCAAGCAATTTAGATAATTTTTCTAAACTGAGTTTTCTAGGATATAGAAAAACAATGCTGTTTTCCATTATCGGAAAACGGTAATACAGTAAACAAATGTTCTTTCGCAGTTGCTTAGAAGTAAGCATTTCATGTAGAGAGAATTATAGGTACAATATTTTAGTACGTAGAAGTACAAATGACATATGATGGAATTTAATGTGCAGTGATATGGCAAAGCTAGGAAAGGTAGGAATATTGAGCATCTTTCTTCAAGAAACAGCATCGTATCAAATCAGCGTGAAGATATATATGTACAGATTGATATATCTTGCACTACAGAATATGCATGTATGTACAATTTATCTGATGCTTCTTGAGTTCTTGTTAACAAAGCATTGGCAATTTGGATATCATGTTGCTTAAGCAAAAGGATCAGGAGTGCAATTCATGCTATTTTTTTAACAGTGTATAGAGAAACTATGCTCTTCAGAAAAAACTATATAGATCCCATGATTTAATCACCAGGGCAAATGATACTTTTTTATAGTTTAGTTACTATATAAGAGATTATAGGGAGTTCATCTGTTCATGCATAAACACACACCCTCCACATTTTTTTTCTTTTCTTACAAATTTTGCATACACACAAGCTCTTGAAAACTACTACTTGTAGTAACAACTTGCACATATACTAGCTAAACAAGAAAGATATCATATATACAATTAACAGTAAATAATATCATATATAAGTTCTGGTTATAAATGCACAAACATTTTTTCTTATTTCATACTTAGCACTCGAGTAGTACACAGAAAACATACACAGTGATCATGCAAAAAATCTGCAAGCAGCTAATATAACTCAAAATTTTCTTCAATGGACAACCATTTGAAAGAAACTGCAGAAGCTAGCACAGGATAAATTGAAAACTGAACATCTAGCCGGATAAGATGAAAATTGTTGTAAGAGAGGGGAAAAAATCATGCATATCAATCATGAAATAGAACAAATCCTAACCAGAAGCAATTATACCAAGCAAGCAAAATTACCTCAGATCCTCCCTTGCCTTCTTTTGACTTCTCGATTTTCGATGATGATGATTTACCTATGATTCTCTGCAAAACCTTCTTCAGCTGCTTATTCACCTGTAGCATGTAAATGGACAAAGTGCTTGTGAAGAAGATGAAGGCCAAGACATGGACTTGCAGAGCATAAATAGATACAAATATATGAGAAGATGACTTGGTGCATATCTATCTATCTATCCAGCAGATGTAATCAGGAGATAGAGAAGAGAATGGAGAAGAAACTGAAGTCAGTCAGGTCAGTGAAGAATTCAAGATCTCATCCTTCCTGACTCCTCACAGAGGAAGACAACATATATAGCACATGACCTACCTTGTGAAGCTAGCTAGCATGACTGTCTGATTCATACTCCATCCTTCCCAAAATAAATCAACTTAAAGAATTGAAACTTTGACCCAAAATAAATCAACTTCTACCTTCTTATCTACTCTCGGTTCGCAAATAAAAAAAATTATTCATTCAATACCCCTACCTAACTACCTACCAATACTAGTTTACTAATAATAAGGGATAGTTTGGTAATTTATCCTTCCCTTTAATTTTACATTGGGATGCTAGAATATGTCTCTTTGTGGGACAAAGGGAGTATATATATATCTCCAGTTTTGTAACCGAAAATGTTGTTTTTGTGTGACCTTGGAAACACAAAATAAATGCATGACTTGACTATCCTGAGTCTTGGTCATGAGGGAAATTAAGTTGGGTAGGTAGACATGGTCTATACCAAGCTAGTTTGAGTGTGACATCATTCGATCATTTATATAGCTGAAAATTGTGTTTTCTTCATCATACCAAAGTGTACTGCAAAGTGTGTTCTCCACAAACTACATACCGAGTTAATGATTTTTATTGCAATTAAATATAAGAAATATGGTACTAGCTAGTGCCTAGTACTAAAACTTGTCTTAATGTTTTCATTGTCTTGAAGACTTTCTTTCCCCTTCCCTAAAGCAGGCAGAAATCAAGTCAAGCTCAAAGAGCTACTCCCTCCGTTCCAGAATATAAGCATTTTTTAGTATAGTGACAAGTCAAACAATTTTAACTTTAACCATTAATAGCAAAAAAATAAAAAGATCAATCATGTAAAATTGATGTTACTAGATTTATCATTAAACAAACTATCATAATATGCAACTCTTTTTATTTAAAATATCTTATTTTTATATATATCGTTAGTTAAAGTAGCATATTAGAGACCGTGTCAGGATCCAAAAATACTTATAGCTTGAGACGGATGGAGTAACAATTTAAGAAAACATCACATCAAATACGGTTAAGGCAATATGGACTCTAGCTTGGAGAGAAAGAGAGAGAGAGATGCCAAATTATACTAGGAAGTTGGAGTCCAGCAAAAGCAAACGACCATTTTGACTAGATTTCTTGTCCATCAAGGACAGCCCAGAGATGAGAAGAACATAACGAAAGGAAGGAAAAAGAGTAGAAGAAAAGCAAAGGCAGAACAAGTCAAGTCGAGGATGTTAATGAACTGATTTAATTAGTACAATCCAGATAGATCAGTTTAACCGTGCCAACCTCTGAATATAACTGACCAGATATTTCTGATTGACATGTTCTAATAACTCTAAAGTATATAATGATTTTAACACTAGAAATACACACATGCGGAAAATTATGTGTCTTGTAATCGCCATGCTTTGCAAGGCATGGAAGAGAAAACATATCATAGGGCATGCTGGTAAATATTATATATATACAGAACCGTTCTTCTAAATTATTTACCTTGAGATTAAGTAAGCAACACTAACAGATTAAACCGAACTCACTGTTTAGAGAATTGAATTTCCTCTTTTTCTATCAATCCAAAATAAAAAAATTTCCTCTATCTAGCCCCAAAGCAAAATCTTGGCAGACGAAATCGCGAAAGAAGAAAAAAAACAAAAGAGAAGGAGAGGAATAATTCAAGGAACAAAACAGCACACAAACATGCAGGTACAGAAGTAACACAACTTGACATCAAGCATGAATACCTTTGTTCAAGAGCTGCTATTCCATTGATCTCTCGATGAAATGTGACATGAAAAGCTCTCAAGTCAATATATATAGGCGAGATTCATTTCTGCAATATGATTACATATATGCACAGAAACGCAAATGGAGAGTAGAAATCAATAAGGCATTAATTAGAGGTATTAATGCATGATAGAATCCTGGCGGCGTGAGCAATGAATTTAATACCTAAAATTTTTGGAGTAGGCTGTTTATTTGACCCTGGTAGTTTTTGTTGATATTTTTAGGACGAGTCAACGAAAAATGCAGATCCTTCGGTCTAGCAGGCTGTCCTGTCAGGCTTACCTTGGCGTTGACAGTGGTCAATGGATGCAATTGAAGGGCCAGTTCACTTTGATGCTATTTTCAACCTTATCAAATTTTACTAAAGTTGCCAAAAAAAAGTGGCTACATTTAGTTTGCTGCCAAATTTTAGTAACTATATAAAAAATCCCACCATAATTTTGATAACTATGCCAAAATTTGGTTATGCCAAAATTTGATAAGGTTTTTTTTTACATCAAAGTGAACAGGCCCGTAGTTTTGAAACGATGTTGTAATGCAAGTGGATGCATGACATGTAGGAGTGCTGTATATACCTTCGTTTTAAAAAGGCTTCATTTTTTGTTATGAATTTAGATAGATCACTGTTCATGTTTATAGGTAGAAATATAAAGTTGTTGTTGGACAGAAGTAGTAGTAAGTTTTCATGGGCATAACTTGATTCAGTTGGTTATTTGAAATATTTTGTAAGCAACGGAATGAAAAGACAAAGTTTATATTTGAATGGTAGTCAATTTTGGTGTGTTTCATCTTGAAAAGTTTAGCTGGAAACGAGATAGAAATCAACATGGATTGCAATATTTTGGTATATATCAATTAATGCAATGTTTCATTTGCTAGCTACGAATTCATTTCAAGGGATATGTGCATGAAGAGTTATATATCTATATATTTTAGGGGCAAAAGACCTGCAGACATAATGTGGAAAGTAGGTATGGAATATTCTAAATAATATAATAAAAACATATATTTGTTTCCATACCCAACAAGTAGGCATTGAAGCTTAAAAATCACTTTTACAATTTCATAATGTATAGATATGCCCCCCACACACATACCACAATGTATAAATATGCATCACACACACAGAGATACACACAATGTATAAATATGCCTCAAACACACACAGAGATACACACAACACACAGACAGTGTAGAGAGAGAGAGAGAGAGAGACAGAGACAGAGACACACAAGTCGTTCACGATAAAATGGGTAAAGCTCCACGGCCAAGATCACATACAATTTTCAAGAAAGATGAAAAGAACGGTGCTTTAGGTAGCATAACATGATTACAGAAAGGTTCGCTTCCTCGAAAAAAATTACAGAAAGGTTCAGCTATGACAATCCGTTCCTTTGCTTTAATCTGATCTAAGTGTAGAAACAGAACAGAACATTAGAAAATTGCATGTTAATTGAACTATAACAAAAAAAATGCGTTAGAAATCAACTTAGTCGTTGGTCATCTCTGGAGAGGCAAAAAAAGAACCTTCTTCCATGCACTCATTATGTTCTACCATGGCAGGTATAAAGCATCAACCATGATATGCAAGGCAAAACTATGGCAAGGCAAAACCATCTTCCATGCATTCTGTCCTAGTCTCCTGCATGAGCTGCTGAAGAAGGGAAGGGTTGCTTGTGACAATGGCATCAACATGTTCATACAACATCCTCTTCATGGAGTCGGCATCATCAACAGTCCACGCATAAACCTTTTTGTCATTTCTGTTTCAAAAACCAAGCACATAAACTCAGAGTATTCCTTTATTTCAGTAGCAAAATGATGGACATCCAAATGTAGGTTAATTACATGTTCTTACCTGTGCATAACCTTCATGAGCTTCTCGTGGATCAGGCGATGATATACACCAGCAACTTTGGACCCTGTTATCCTTACTAACTCAGTAGTTCTACCAGTGGACTTATCAACCATAACAATATAGCCAACCTATAGCAGATAAATCACTCATTGAGTTACAATCCACTAATCAGCAGTAATAATTGGCAAGGATGACAACCTCATTTTTTTACATAAAGAACACAGAGAAACTTACCGTTATATCTTTAGACAATTTAATTACATCCCTTCCCACATTGTCACTTTTTGCCCAGACAAGACAATTTTTACATTGTGTTCTGCCTATCTGCAAAGAAACAAGAGGCCTTGAATTAAGAGAAGTTCAAAACTTGCTGGGAGAATGTATTATATTTCATGCTGTACTCTAGGAAATGACAAATACAAATTAATAAGGAATTATGGAAGACAAGTTGACAGGAGACCAACGACAGACATTTTTGACATGGATAAAAATGCTAGCGTACAACTGCATGAAGCAACATGCAATTAACTAAAAAATGATATAACGTTGCCAGTGGTGACATATCAGCACATGGGCCAGCATAAGAATCAGAACATTATGGTAAAACTACTACAGCAAAAAGCTAATAGCCACCAACTTAATTTAAGTTATAGAAAATGGAAACATACCATATGCACACAAGCTTCCCGTGCACACCAACTAGCAAATGTCACGAAAAATTCTACAAAAAATTGGACATGTACTCCTAATAGTATTACACATATCTATAAAGCCTCATATTCAAATTCATTATATTTTAGCCGTAACAAAAAAGTAAAAAATCTGATAGTTTTAAGGGTAAAAATCTGTCAGAATTTTGTCTTTTTCGTTACAGCTAAAATATAATGAATTTGAAGATAAGATTTCACATATAGGTGTAATACTATTGGAAGTATGTGTCCAATTTTTTCTAGAATTTTCTGTGACATTTGCTAGTTTGTGTGCACAAAGTGTGCACGGGAAGCTTGTGTGCATAGGATATATTCTCCTAAAAAATACACACTAGAGTCCAGACATACCAACTCCATGTTAAAAACTAGTCACGTATGAAAAAAAAAAAAAGCATGTGCCATTTGTATCCCAATAAGACGAGGAACATTGAACTTACAGTAGACAGCACATCTTCAGCTAAATCTTTCTCAAATGAAGGAGGACCAACTTTGACATCCAGAATAACCTGCCTTACGGATTGTGATATCAACTGTGCAAAGAAGGAGAAAGGTCAATACAAAAAAAACAATTTTCCACATCTATCAAGAAAACATAAGCCAATTGGGATGAGGTTTTACACGTCATATGAAGCTTAAGTGATTATGAGTATTGCTACCTCTCCCAAAAATAAAACCATACAAAACCTAAAACTGAGTGTATTAAGGCTTACCGCTAGAACATCTTGTGCTTTAGGGACTTCCTGGTTCTGGACTTTTTTTGACAGTTGAAACCTTGTGCTTAGAGCTTTAATCTACAAAAAACTAAAAGAATACATCATTAGCATCCTGACAACATATGGACATTAACACAGAACCAATCAATGATCAGGAAACTGGTGTTGGAAAAAATTAGCTGGTTTCAGCCATGCACTTCAGAATATCATTCATCATCGAACTGTTTCTTTTGAGTTAAACTAAATAAAGAGAAATAATTTGTGAATCCTGAGTTCCAGACAAAAAAAGGAGCAAGCAGCAACAAGTTTAAAACCAAATAATCACCTCATCCGAGCTCCAGTAGCCAACTTTTGCTGTAGAATTACCAGACATTCTTTGCAGATCCCTGCCTGTGTCAATTTTGAATTAGGTAACAGGACATATTGTTCAAAAGAAAAATATTAGCATGTAGTAAAATGGCTGCTTCTCTCTTTAAAACATCTCTTGCAACTGTCTTAAAGTGATACAGTTTATTTCTGCGACAATTTACTGGCTGCTTCTTGTGGGTGCCTCTAATCATTCCCAACTATATAAATTCGAAAAAAAAAACTTTTATTTATTAAAGAATAGGAGATTCAAGCTTTCTATAACTGAAATGCTAACAGCCAAACATAGAAAGTGAGCTCTAGCCACTTGATAGTTTGTAAGATACAAGGTAATGAGAATAAGAACAATGAAAATAGATGCTAATGCCATGCATTATGTGGCAAGGAGTGAATTATGAAAGAAATGCAACTGCACATTATGCAGTACGAGGCACATAGAATTATCAATAAATATAATTTATACATCATAGTCCACCACTTTGGTCACAGAAATGTCAACATATCCATACATGCACCACCTATCTATAATTATGAGCACCGAAATATGGAAGATAGCTACAATGCGGACAAAATAAAAATGCCTAATTTTCCCAAGAAATATTGTTTCAAGTAGCACAAGGACCTCAATCAATCAATTAGATAGCCTGTGTGCGATCCACTTGCATAAAAGGGATACAATGCTCAATCCTACATAACAGAACTATGACAACACATACCATTACTCCATTAGTACTATAACTTCAGTCACTAGTTCCATTAAAACTGATGTACATCTCCAAAATGAGTAATAAATCAGGCAGACCTTGTCCCCTTATCAACCCAGGACACAACGGAAATATGTCGACTCACCACCATTAGCATCATTACTTCAACCTCTAGTTCCATTAAAATTAAGCGGCACGCGCGGATGCGACAATCAAGAGCTGCATTCAACAACCAAGCACAAATGCATCTAATGCTCCAATGACCCAAGCAGCAGTCCAATCAATTACCTATCGTGAAGCACAAAGAGCGCGCCATCGGAGGACCTCGAGACGTCCACCTCCACGCAGTCGACGCGCGCGTCCAGAGCCAGGCGGAAGGCGTCCATCTGCGCACGAGATCCCCCAATCAAACCAAAGAACAAGTCAGGCAAATTCACATTCACCCCAAGAGCTCTCCAAGATCAGTAAACGAAAGGTGCGGATTGACGCAGACCGTCTCGGAAACCCTACCGAGTTGGGGAACGCGTTGGTGGAGTCGCCGCCGTGCGCGCACACCATCGGCGGGCTCGCGATCCACCCGCACCTCCTCTCCCGCATCTGCACACCAAAAAAAAAAAAACGAAGGGTTAGCGAACAGTATGAGCTCCAAATCAAGGGAATCGGAGAGCGGATTAGGGATTCAGGAATGGGAGAGGGGGGAGGACGAACGCGGTGGAAGCGGCGGAGGCGGAAGTGGAAGAAGGCCGGGGGGATGAGGGAGAGGGCGGCGAGGAGGAGGAGCAGGCGGAGGAGGCGGTTGGTGGGGAGGATGCGGCGGAGGAGAGCGGAGGAGGAGGAGGAGGAGGACGGCGGGGAGGCCCTCTTCGTCGCCGGCGGCGGGAAGAGCGGCAGCGGCGGCGGCTGCTGCTGGCGGCGCCTCCCGATCCCGAGAAGCCTTCTCATTGCTACTCTCTCGTCAGTCCCTCTTTGCCAAGTGGGGGATTCGGCCACTGGTTGTTCTCTCAAGACGAAGAGACTGTTCGCCTGGGCCTGGGCCTGGGCCTGTGGCCCTGTAGAAGCCGAATACAAGAAAGGAAGGCCCAACCCAATGCTCTTAATCCAAGAGCAGGGTCAGCTACAAACAAGAACTTTAAGAGAGAGAAGTGGGCTACATATTTCTAACACGACCTTTAAGACGTTATGTGTGTATGATAAATGGAACCAATTATTAATGATATAGTATATATATATTTGTAGTAAACTATTGTATTATGAATTGGCTATTAGATTGACTATAAATGATTTAGAGTTAGTAGTTGGCTATAATATTAAACAGGCTAAATAAAAACAATGCTCTTCTAGCATTTTCTAAACTCATTGATGCATTATCACATTTATTACGTTTGTTAGATTTGGAGTTTTTTTTTGGATAATGGGTTTATCCGAGTACATTCTCTTTCAATCGGATATAGATTTGCGTAATTTTTTTTTTTGAGAAACAATTTGCGTAAATTTTGTTTATGAGATGAACCATTTGTTTCTCTAGAATTTTATATTTACTGCCAATGGGAGTATAAATTCGGAATCTTTATTCAACGCAGCTGCATTTTCAATTCACACTTTTTTCAGATGAAAGTTTTCACATTAAAGTTTTCTAATGAAAATTTTTCGGATGAAAGTTTTTGGTTTGGAAGCTTTTAGGAGAAAGGCGTGCCCTGTGAACGTGGTTATGCTAATTGCGATTCTCATAAAAATTTTAACAATTACTTGGCCCGCCATCAATTTGGACTCTTGCTTTGCTGCTAAAACGAGCATTTATAATAGCTCTAACGTTTGCTTTTCAGCTTATTAGTACATTCTAGATCTTAAATTTGGAGTTGATTGGAGTTGATCTTGATGTTTTTTTCACTATAAATATTTTTCAGCATTGACTTTTAAATCATTGTTAACATATATCTAAAAGTTTTATCCTAATTTTTTTTCACTAATAAGCGTTACGTCTTATGAGCAATACATTTCAATGGTGTCTATTTTTAAAAACAGAAATGTTACTGTCTTGATGAAGATATCAGAGATAGCATATTCTTTAGTGCTGATTTTTAAAGATCCGCAGTGTAAAGTATCAGTAGATATCACAAAAAAAATATTGTAATCCCTTACTGTAAAATCACTTCAAAAATTGTTCCTGAAAATGGTGAATAAAACATCGACGGACGCTCAGATATGCATAATTTCCACATTCAAAATTTAACCCCAGCTGATAGATACACCCACATCTCTCCCATCAAATAAACATACGTTTGCAAAAACTGTACAAATTTCAAGTATGGGTTATTGTAGCCATTCAAAATCCCCGTTGGGGAACAGAACATCGAGTTTATCACTGTTTCTTTTATATACACAAAACATCACAAAATTATTAGTGACACGTCTGCTTGTTTAATTATGCAAGAACAGCATCAAGCAACCATTAATTATACTCCCATTCCAATATTCCATGGAAGCAATCAAGCTTAATTTGCAAGAGTGAAGTGAAGCAGAGCAGAGCAGCTAGCTGACTAGCTCAGATGGCCTTGAGGAGGTCGGCGGCGGCGGCGGCGATGTCCTGGCCGTCGGCGAGGGTGACGATGTTGGGGGAGTCCATGGCCACGACGTCCTCCGTGGTGAACCCGTCCTCGTCGCGGAGGAGCTCCTCGCTGCCGGCGGCGACCATCCCCGGCAGGATCACCGTCCTGTGCAGCCCCGGGAGGAGGCGCTCCCTGTCGGTGTCGCCCTTCTCGCCGACGAGCACCGCCACCTTGGACAGGTCGATCCCCCACTGTATCGACAGGTACCTGAAAGGTGAACGCGTCGAACGGTTAGAGACGACGAGATGGTGGTGTCGGCGATGGCGTCGCCGGCGGCGGCGTGTCACCTGAGCGCGCGCGGCCGGGAGGCGGAGAGCGGGACGACGTTGAGGCGCGTGCACGCGCGCGTGTAGACGAGGTTGCACCGGAAGCCGCGCATCCGCAGCGCCTGCCTGATCCAGTCGACCTTCTTCACCTGCGACAATGGCGGCGCGACGGATCAAGAGGTGTTCGTCGTCGAATGGTGTTCGTTGTCGTGGCGACGGTGGCGCTCTGCTCTGCTTACCTTGGACGCGTCCTTGGCGGCGTAGGCGTGGCAGTGCACGGAGCAGGCGGCGGCGTCGACGGCGAGGTCCGCCTCCTGCGCGCCGTCGGCCTTCCCGAGCCTCGGCACCGCGGACCTCACGTGGTCGCCGGGCCACCGGAACGCCACGTGCCCGGCGTACTCCTCGTCGGCGGCGAGCTGCTCCCCCTTCCACGGGTAGCAGATCTCCGCGCCGCTGCTGCAGATCAGCGCGTCGAAGCCGGCCGGGTCGGCGCCGCATGCCCTGAGCGCGTCGACGGCCTCGGGGATGGTCATGCCGGTGGAAAGAACGTATCCCCTCCCGCCGGCGTCGTCGCCGTCGCCGGCCGACATCGCCAGCTCGACCACCTTCTTGAGCTGCTCCACGTTCGGCTTCCCGTCGTCGCCGTAGCAGTCGATGGCGACGACGAGGAGGCTCTGACGCCGTCCCGGCGCGAACCCGATCGCCCTGGCGGCAGAGCTCGCCGCCGGCCTGTCCGTGGACCGGCGCCTGCGGAGCGCGTCCAAGATTGCCGCGGCGGAGTCCCCAGCGCTGAGGTCAGGCGACGCGGCGTCCACGGAGATGCGGAGCGAGAGATCGCGCAGCGAGTCGGAGAGCGGCTCGGAGGAGGCGGCCGCGCCGCCGCCACCGGCGGCGGCGGCGGCGGCGGATGAGGAGGACGGGGAGGGCGGGACGCGGAGCAGCTGGTGCGGCGCCGGGTGGTCGCAGCTGGCGGCGACGTGGGAGAGGTAGAGGCGGCAGTGGTGCGGCCAGGAGAAGCGGTGGATGTTGCGGAGGCCGCTGCGGCGGCACTCCGACCACCGGGACTTGTCGGCGAGCAGGCTGAGCAGCGCGGCGGTGATCGCCGCCGCGTCGTGCGGGTCCACCAGCAGCCCGTTGCTCAGCACCTTGAGGATGTCCACCGGCCCGCCGTTCTTCGTCGCCACTACCGGCAACCCATATGCAGCAGCCTTCACACACACAACCAGTAAAATTTAAAGAAAAACGAGTGAATTTCAAAGCTACATGTACTTTGATAAAATTATCATAGAACTATCCCTCAGTTCAAAAAAAAAGTCCAATCCTAATTACGAATCTGAACACATACGTATCTAGATTCGTAGCTAGCGTGTCTTTTTTTATAGAGTATTATATATTTAATTTAAACTATAATATCATAAAACTATAAATTTTAGAAATGATTTTATCACAAAACTATAGATTTAAAGCGTTGTATATAAAAAGTATAGATTTAGTTTCGTCTTTTTTTTTTTACAAAACTATAGATTTTTGATGTGCTATCTCTACACCTATTACCAAGATAAAATTTTAAAATGTGTAGGTCAGTGAGAAATTGAATGCTCCATCTGTAGTTTTGCAAAAAATATGACACTTAATTTATAGTTTTTATTTAAATCTTTACTTTTCTGATAAATCAGTTTCTAAATCTTTATTTTTTATATTATGTCTTAAATCCATAGTTTTATGATAGTATTGTTAAAGTATATGTAGTTTTGTGAAATTTACCCAAAACAAATTATTCATGCAAATTTAAATTCAAACAATAAAATTCAACATTAAATATCTTAAGCAAATTTGAATGTTGTGCTTGGATTTTACCTCTATGATGGTGAGGCCGAATGGCTCGACAAGAGCAGGATTGATGAACACACCCTGCAAAATCAAAAAAACAAAATTGATGAAATCATCAGCTCTGCATCCTCTGCTTTGCAACGCTGCCATTGCTACAGATCAGAGGATGGAGACAGTGACTGACCTTGGTCTTGGCGGCGAGGCGGTAGATGTGCGGCACGTCGGTCTGCTTGTGGTGCTTGGGGTAGGCGACCTGGCCGTAGAGGTCGTACCGGTCGATCAGCTTCAGCACCGCCGTCAGCACCGTCGCCGCGCCGCCGGACATCTCCTCGATGTCGTCCCTGTTCCCCAGTATCAGCGTCTGCACCACCCACGCACACCCCCGTCATGTTCGTGTCATGTTTTTCACGAACGCGCAAAAGGATTACACGCCAATATATTAGAAGAAAATGTCGTGTCATGTCATATCACGTACCAGGTTGGCGAGCTCCCGGAGATGGCGGCTCTCGCCGTACGCCTTGAGCAGCGTGGTGACGTTCTTCTTCGGGTCCGGCCGCGACAGCGCGAGGATCATGGGCTTGTGCGGGTTCGTGAAGAACCGGAGCACCTCCGACCAGATGGGAGGGAGGGGCTTCTTGGCCTTGTTGGGGTTGATGAGCAGCTGCAGGTCGGCGGCGTCGCCGGCGCCGCCGGCGCCGTCGGCAGCGAGGTCCTGGGTGTCGACGTAGCTGAAGTCCATGCCGGGGGGGATGACGACCATGCGCGGCATGTAGCGGCCGAGGCAGCTGACGCCGCGGCGGCGGCGGACGCGGAGCTTGCGCTCCACCTTGAGGTCGAACCCGTCGTAGAGCCCCCACTGCTCCTCGATCTCCTGCTTGGTGCTCGTCACCACCATGTCGGCGGCGTCGAGGCCGGTCTCCTCCGCCTCTATCCGCCGCGCGATCTTGTACGTGCCCTGGATCTCGGCGCGCGGCATGCGCCCCAGCTTCAGCAGCTGCTCCAGCTTGTTCCGCCCCAGCGAGTGCCCCGTCATCACCATCGGCACGTTCAGCGCGCTCGCCAGCAGCGCCGCCACCTCCGCCGCGTCCGCGTAGTGCCCGTGGATCACGTACGGCCACACCGCCTGCGCCGCCGCGCCCGCGCCATCGGACGGCGGCGGCGGCGAGAGCTGCTCGCCGAGCGCGCGCGCCACGTTGGTGACGTGCGCCAGAGCGCGGTCGACGAACTCCGGGATGTGCGGCCAGAGCGACTCCTTGGGGAGGTACTTGTCGCGCGGCCCGCACGGCAGCCGCACGATGTACGCGCCGCCGGACGAGCCGCCGCCGCCGTCTTCGTCGTCGGCGTCGGCAGCCGGGACGGTGAGCATCTCGACGGGCTCGCCGTAGGTCCAGTCGACGTCCGGGCACGAGATCTGCCGCGTCAGGAGGTCGACGCGGTGCACCCCCGGCGTCGCCGCCAGCGCCCGCGCCAACTCCACCACGTACTTCACCTGGCACACGACACAAACCCCATTTTCAAACGTCACAAATTTCGTCAAATTCTACAATAATCAAACCGTTTCTGACAAATTTTGTCAAAATTTTAAGCAGGTGTGACTGACCTGGCCCCCGGTGTCAGAGTCTCGGCCGAGCTCCATGTTCTCGCCCCGCACGAGCCCATGAATGCTAAACACAAAAAAAAATATACAAATTAATTTCACAATAATTAATACTGGTATCAGCGATGAGTCAGCGGTGAGTAATTAGCGTTGAGGAAGTCAGTTAATTGCGGTGACGTGGCAGTGACAGTTGAGTTAGTTGGTGGGTTTACCTGATGAGCACGATGTAGAGGTTCCGGTCGGTGGTGACCTCCTCCTCCTCGTCGGAGACGATCCGGGGGTCGGAGTTGATCCGGGCGAACCGGCTGAGCTGATGCGGCGGCGGCTGCTGCTGCTGCTGCTGGTGATCGCCGCCGCCGCCGTCGTCGGCCGCCGCTTCCGCCGCCGCCGCCGCCGGTGGAGGGTGAGTGTCCGGCTTGCCGTCCTTCTCACCCTCGGAGAGCTCCGAGAGGTCGGCGGCGGCCTCCCGGCTGCCAAGCTCCTGCTCCAGCCGCCGGCGAGACAGCTGTCGCGAGAATTCCCACTCCACCTGCAAATACCATATCAGCCGTCCATTTCCAGATGTAGGTTTCATCAACGGTTGCGAAACACAAGACAGAAGATGATATGGAACAACGTGATTTTAGACAGTTTTTTGAAAACTGTGAATTTTACATGAAACAGTTCAATCTCATGAGGAAAAAAAACAGGAGTTTCGCGCGTTTTTTTTTAAACCAGGCTTAAAGCACAGAGAAAAGGTATGATTGATCCCAAACAGGTTACCTGTTCGATCGCTTCGAGATCTGGACAACTCATGCTATAATGGTGAACCATGGTGACACAAAAACTGGAGATTGCTGTTTATGTTCTTGTGTAAAAATGACTTGAAACTTTCAGATAATGAAGGCAATTGCCTCTGGGATAACTGGATATCAGCATATATATATAACACCAAACTAGTTAACAGGTTTGACAGGGTATTTGGTCATATTTTCAACATGGATGCAGCTGCATATCAAGAAGCCAAGCAGGGCACCTTAAATGCATTTTTTTTCCCTTTTGCAGCAAGTGAATCCCTGATTTACACGCATCCAATTAGGCTTAGTGTTGATCTAACCAGCAATAAATCCATGTGCAAATTGTCAAAAGCATGGCTCATAATGACTAGAAGCTAAGTACTGTAATAACCAAGTGACAATTGATGCAGCTCTGTTTCTCTCTGTTTTATCCATTCGAATTCTGCAAATTGGCACTGCCTGCCTTCTCCAAGCGGACAGAGGAACATTCCGGCGACATGGCACGCAGGCAACCATTGGTGTTGGCCATAGACCATAATTCATATTTGCCACATTTTCAAACTGACTAGACTCCAACTCGCCCCAGGATGAAAAAAAAATGATCAGAAAATTAAATGGACGTGTCAAATTGCCCTTTGGGCCAGGCTAACTAGCAGACAACATACTTTGATCAGCCTACACTACTAGCACTCCTCGACCTGTTCTCGAAACACCGGAATTTCACAGGAAACAGTTCATGTCCCTATCGATTCGCCTAGAATTGATTATAAACTGTAATAGCTTATTAAAAAACAAATTACGCTTAAAACATATATAATATATGTGTTCTTAGCGACTTTAAAAAGTTAACGCTTGAAAAAACTGCATTGAAAAACATAAAAATTAACTTCAAAAATCAAGTTTTTTCAAACTTAAATTTAAGCAACATCTCATAAGTTGTAGGGCAAACAATAAGGTCCTCAATCTTTTCTGAGAGAATCTTCAGAATATGCCACTCAATTCGCATCACCTCTAGAATTTGCCACTTAATTCGCAACGTTTTCAGAACATACCATTAAGAACGCGAATTGTTTCATTCCGTGCCACTCCATCCCTCCGAAGCCGAGCGCCGTTGCCCGCCCGTGGCACGATGTCCGTCTGAGTCATCTGGGCACCACCGACGAGCTCCTCCCCTACGCCGGTGAGTTCTTCTTTCTCCCCGCGCTAGCGGATCCTCCTCCCCAATGTCGGCGAGCTTCTTCCTCCCCACACCTGGTGAGCTCTTCTTCCTCCCCACACTGGCAAGTCTTCCCGCACATGCCGGCGAGCTCTTGCTTCCTGCCCCGGTGGAGCTCCTCCTCATGTGAGCTCTTCCTCCCCAACACCGGCGGCTCCTCCTTCTCACGCTGGTGAGCTCTTCCTCCCCACATTGGAATGGCGAACTCTTCCTCCCCAACGCTCGGCGGCAAGATGACACAACAGATGACGCGATACGAACGAGCGACGGCGCGTAACTTCGGAGAGATGCAGTGGCACTGAATAAAACAATTCGCGTGTTTGGTGACATGAGTGTTACGAATTGAATGGTAAATCCTGAAGGTGGTGCGAATTGAGTGGCATATTCCAAAAATTCTTTTGCGGTGGGAAACTTTGTATGCTCGATTGTCAACATCCTCTCGATTTTCTAGCATGTGTACGGGTATATTTATGTGGCGTTGTTTATCAATTGAAAGTAATCGTGGATTACATAGTAGACGCACACACGGATACATTCGGTGTTAACCATACCTATTATGGAATTTATGGTCTACAAGTGCTGTCAAGGTCGGCACTGACCGAGTTTTTAATAAAAAAGGAAAGGGATTGAAAAAAAAAAAGAAATAGCGAATCATATCGTATAGGCGAGAAAAAGCTGGAGGAAAAGCAGAGCAAGCGAAGCGAGGTTGGAAGGCAGCATCCATGGCGATTGGGGGCGTACCTGCTTCTTCCTCCTCGCGACGTTCCAGATCCTCCAGCACAGGTTCTCCAGCCGGTTGTTCCTCTCCTGGCTGTTCCTCATCGCCACCACCTGCACCCCCACCGCCGCCGATTAGTGAACAACAACCGGCCGGCGCCGGACACGATCGATCGCCGGCGAGCGAGGGCGGCGATACGAGATTATCACATACCTTGGTCCACGTCTTGTGGAGGTCGCGGTCGTCGAAGCGGCTGACGACCTCCTCCACGAAGTACCTCGTCGGGCTGTACGTCGCCGCCGTCGCCACCGCCGACGCGGCGTCCTCCGGCGCCGGCAGCAGCGGCGGCAGCTGCACCGCCGCCGCCCCTCGCTGCTCCCGCAGCTTCACGCCGGCGTCCAGGATCGCCTCCAGGTACCCGTTGATCCACTCGTTCCCCACCGCCATCCTCCTCCTCCTTCTTCTCCCTCGCCGCCGGCGAAAGAATTAATCGGAAACTATAATTTGCTTATATACTTATGCAGATTAGATTATGCGTCGGCGAGGAGTGGTGCAGGGGACGGAGGAGGAAGAAAGGCTCCCGCCATTATATCCACCTCGAGCAGAGGCAGAGCTAGCACCATATATATTTTTTTTCTAAATTATCTCTTTTTCCTGAATTTATTTATCTTTTCAAATTTTTATTCTCCTTGTTTTTCTTTACAAATTTTAATTATATTGTAAGAGGAAATATCTGTATTATTGCTCTGTTTTTTATTTTTTTCAGAGTCTATTGGATTCTACGGCGGTTATGGTGTTGGCTATCTAATCTATCTCCTTGGAGGGATACGGGAGGAGAGGAATAAAGCGCGGCAAAAAAAGAGAAGAAAAGGGAGAATATATATATATATATATTTTTTCACATTTGTGCGTGTGCGTAGCTAGTATACGTGGTAGCTACAGCATATGCTGTGATATGCCCGTGTGTAGTAGTGGAACAGTACTAGAAGGCTACTAGTGGGCCGTCGGCCAATGGATGGGCCGGCGAGGTGCGTGCATGGCATTGGCACACGTATCAACCAAGGACATGATGGGAGTAGAATTGCATATGCCCCTAGCATATGCCATCTTTGATTATTGTCTTCTTTGGGTGCATCTTGCTACTCCTTCCTTCCGGTTCCACGATTCTTATCGTTTCGGAGGTCCTTCTTTGACTATAGTTTTATTAATATATATAAAACAAGTAGTTATTTTAATTTTGTTAAAGTATTTTTTTAAAAGACTAATCCATACATATTGTTATAGTGTGTTCAAACTAAAATATTTTAAAAGTTGTTGATAATTAAAGCTTTAATAATTTGCCTTTAACCTTTGTCAAAACGACATGGATTATCAAACAAGAGGGCCTATTTCGTGGATAGGTTTTTTTCTTATAATGGAGACTCCGAAACAACATAACCAACTACTCCATCTATTTTCAAATTACTTATCAATCTAGTTTTTCTTAAGTAAAACATTTATATTCTTACCGTATATTTATTTTAGTTCATGTAATCTAACATAATACTCCCCATATTAAAATACAAGGTGGATGTAATAAAAAAGCATTTACAAACTTTACGAATAATTAAATAACAATATATATCTTCTGTTTCGTGCATGTGACATCACTAGGTTCGTATTTAAAAATTCTTTGTTACAGTTAACTAGCATGGTGGCCCGCGCAAATTGCGCGGTTAGCTACCAATTATTTCTAAATTATGTTTTTATATAGATTCTAAACTATTTTTTCAATATTTCTTATTTTTTAATTTTAAATTTCAATTATAAATTGTGTTTCTATATGGACTCCAACGTCTATTTCTAATTTATTTATTTTTAAATTCTGAATTTTAATTAGTTCCAAATTACATACATGTATGGACTCTAATCCTTTCTTTCAATATTTCTTATTTTTAATTCCGAATTTCAGCTATTTAAAACTATAATTATATATTTACTCTATTTTTATTTTTAATCCAAGTTTTTGATATTTCTAAATTATATTTCTACATAGACTCTTCTTAAAATTTTCTTCATTTTATATTCCTAATTTTAGATATATTAAATTGTATTTTAATTTCTAAATAGTTTTTTTTTCTCTAGGTAGTTGGAGATAATTCTTAATTCTGAATTTTAAATATGTTGAAATATATTGCCATTTGAACTATATTTTTTTCTCTAATTAACATGGAAATTTGTAGAAAGTGGGAGCGAATATGGCGGCTAGTTTTTCTGTTACATTAAGATAATCTCTACTATTATAAAAATTAAAGATGTTTTTGCCGGTACATTGGGACGTCATTCATGTATGAGTCAATTTCTAAGCTCGTTCGCTTTTGGCAATAGATATCCGTATTTGAATAGGTTTTTAAGTTCATTCATTTTTGAAAATACAGGAGTCGTATAAGAAATCTAATTTAAAAAATTCGCATGCTAACTTACACGGTCGAACTCTTAACTGCAGCTCATGATTTTTTTTAAATATATATATCGAAGCGAATTCCTACAGTGAATTTTACCTTAATAACTAATCCATATAACAATAATAAGATTAAAATAGCCTTAACCCGTTGCAATGCACGGGCACTTTTCTAGTATAGATAGACAAATAAATGCATCAGGAGTTTGCACGTGTGAACCTGCCATTAGAGATTTGGTTTGTTGTAACGGAGAGAATAGATCGAGAAAAGCAATAGAACCAACCTATTAAGTATGCATACTTGTGATTTGTATTGTACACGGTCACTATAGCCTGCTTAGGTTTTCTTTCCTAGCAAAAGACTAATCGTTCTATGCAGCTGTCCGGTCGGACACAATTTTTTTCTAAAAAGGAAAGAGAGAGTTCTTATCTACAACGAATTCTCCTTATATATTTTTTATTTTACTTCAATTAATGTGAGAATTTTTAGACGTGGAGGCTTCTTTTTATATTACTTTATTAAGTTAATAGATTTTTAATTCTGAATTTTGCTATTTATAAATTGTATTTCTATATGGACTCTATTTTCTTTTTTCTCGATCAATGTGAGAATTTCTAGACCATGAGAGCAAACGTGAAGACTTCTTTTTCTGTTACTTTGATAAGATAATAGATTTTACAGTTGTTCATAATATATTGCGAACTAATTTAATGTTTTACGCTAGTGACTGTGCAAAAACTTATAAACTTTATATTCTTAGTAGAGGGAGTAAGATATTTTTAATTTGTGATGAGAAATAATTTCATAATATATAGTCTACAAACTATATGAGTTATAATATTAATGGTTAAAGATAGAAACTTTTGACTACGATAAAGTTAAAATGATAATAAGTAATTTGAAAAAAGGGGTATATTATTTGATTCAAATATTCTGATCAACGACAAAACATGCTAATTATCATCCTAACATGAAAATATGTTCTTTCGATTAAAAAAACATATCAACCACAATTGGCATGATTATGTAAAATGGAACTTCAAACGCTAATTTCTATTGTGTTATATTTGTAAAATCAAATAATAATAAGATATCGCATGATTTCAGGAGCTGTTCAAATTGATGTCATTTCAAACCATATCATTTTTTTAAGTTATCAAGATTGTGCATACATTTAGTGTTTTTTTACCAAACTTCGGTAAACATATAAGGAATCCCGTCAAAACTTGGCAATATTTCCACTTACTAAAATTTTGACAATCGTAAATCTGAACAGCCCCTTCATACGTCAACTGATCCAAAAGAATATTGGCATCCAATTTTTAAATTTTCGGCTCAATACATGTCTATTTCTCCTGAAATTAATGTTTCTCATGATCGTGATAATGAAAAGAACACTCGCCGACGGGAAAATAAATTTTCATATAATCACAAAAAATAATTTCACAAATACACGTGCATGGAACATAACGGTGCGTCGTCGTTCCTAAATTAATTATTTGCCAGCTGTTCTAATAACGTATTAAGTGATGTTCAGTTGAAGTTGCCAGATTAGTTTGATGCGTGTCCCAGATGGTAATTACCGATGACGTACACCCGTCTGGTTTATTCTTAGGTGGCGTGCTTATGAGTTTGGCTGAGATTCTCAACTGAGAAAGACATATAATTTATTTATTAATTAAATAGTAATTATTATAAATTCAAATACTCTATCCGTATCAAAATATAACAACTTCACCACCTACATTCTCTTCTCAACCAATCACAATCTACCATCATTCAAATTCTTTACCAATCTTCTATTCTCAATCAATCATAACTTTCTCTCACTTCAATTATATACCTACTTTCTTATAATACTTATGTCAAAGTCTAAAACTCTCTAATTTCGAGGCGGACGTAGCTAGTATAAATTTATTTAATTTTTAAATAGACTCTCATATATATTTTTTTAATGAAATTTATCATTTAACAGTTAAAAAAAAGTTCGAGCAGGACAACCAAAAAGATGTTCAGAACTTTTAGCCTTAGTGGCAACAACGTCATGGATCGATCTTTGACAACGAGACGTACAGGTGTGTCGTTCTGTGGATTCTGTCGTACTTATAGCCAGATACATGAACGAGCTGAAAAGAGACTGTTACCGGATGTTTGACGCATGATCTTCAGTTGTCGCCGACCAATATCGTACGTTCAACATCTCATCATGTACCCCCAAAATAAATAAATAAAATAAATAAATAACTCATCATGTTGCAGCCTTAAGTAGCGAAAGTAACCCTCGTGACAGAGCAACACACGGATGTTAATTATTTGTGTAAATTACAGATTTTTCCATTATCTAATAAATCATAAAAGCACACCACTACAAAACCTCTAATAGAGACATCGATATAATGCGTTTCTCATCCTAATAGGCGGGTATATAAAACTAAAAACCAATATCTATAACATTTAATTTATTGATGCTGGTTTATCTATGTCAGTTTTATTTTAATAAACTACCGCTCATAAACATAGGTTATAGGTTTTGAATGGAACTTTTAGGGATGGAGCCGAGTCAACCAACAGCAAGCCATCTTGTTTTTATTTTATTTTATCTATGACGATCCTAGCACGCTCTCTCCATCTCGTGTTCTCCTTGCCTCTCCACCCCTCGCTCGCTCGCCTCTCCACTTCACTCTCTCCCTAGCCCTCCTCACCACCGCTGCCATCAATCATCATCCTTGCTTGCAGTACCTCGTCCTCTCCTCCTTTGCCACCACCTTCTCCGGCTACGGTGCACGGTATATCGGTGGCACCGATCTCAACTCCCTTGCCTACGGGCTCTTCTCACCTTCCCATGCAATCGGTGGTATCCCTTCACCTTAGGAGCCGCCACAATCCCATGAGGTTGGACGTGTCATATTCGGCCGGTGTTGGGTTTAGTCCCACATCGGTAATTGATTATGGGGGAGTACAACTTAAAAGGTGGGGGCAGTCCTCACCCATCAGACTAGTCTTTTAGGTTGTGTAGGCTCAGGACCTAAAGTTGTGGCTTCGGTTGGGCCTGTGGTGGAGCAGACACAATATGACCTAGGTGGCCTACGGTTGTTGGGCCGGGCTGCGCACTCTAACAAGTGGTATTAGAGCCCAGGTTTGGAACCCGAAACAATTTTCATGATTCGCATGGTGGAGAGGCCAGGTAACAAATCTTCAGGGTCACATAGGTTAATGTGACGGGGGAGATTGTTAGGCCCGATGTGTGACAGAGGAGATTGTTGGGTTTAGTTTCACATCGGTAATTGATGAGGGAGAGCACAACTTAAAATTTTAGGTTGTGTAATGTTGTGGCTCCGGCTCTAACAACCGGTGCGGCTCAAGGACGGCCAGATTCGACCATCACGAGCACAACGATGGCCAGATCCACAGTCTATGACCTCAAAGGTAGCAGTCTCCCCTCGATGTTGTTGAGTGTAGAGGAAGATTGAGCGCACCGATGGCATGCCCTTCATGGCGGTTTCTCATCCCTCTTCTAGCTTGGGCGACGACAACAATATTGGGATAGAGTGTGGCCGACGGTGGCTTTATTTTGTGTATTCTTGACTTCTTCATGAGTTGTCGATGTTTTTGATTAGTAGATGTTGTTTCTGTGATGTTCGATCTTCATCTATGAAATTGTTGATCATGTGATGT